TCTTCCCCTCCTTTTCCCGCCCGGGCGAGGGGGGCGGCATTGTAGGGAGGGGCCGGCGCGGGGAGGGGCGTGCGAGTGGTTGACGCGTGATGGTGAGTTAGTGAGGGGTGCTCGAAGTGGTTGATGGGGCAGAATGGGGCGGGGAGGAGGAAGGAAGCGGACGGGGGATGGGGAGTTTAAGATGCCAATGCGGCGCTGGACCAGATGGCTGAATTGCGTAATGGCTTGATCCCAAAGCGAAAATGTGTTGCAGTGTTGATGTGTCCTCGCTGTCCACGTGGCATAGTTGTCATGAGAAGGTCGCCACGTCGCGTCAGGCGTGATTCGCAAATTGGGGCAAGGGGTGCATGTCCAAACATGCCCGTCCATGCCCGTCCATGCTGTCTTAAAGGAGGCCCTCACAGACTTCAGTCTAGACCGCATGCCGACGTCATCGCTTCCTCAGCGTGAGCCGTCCCGTGCCAGGGCATGCAATCACTGCCCCCCGCTCACTGCTCTGCGACTCCGCTGCGGCAATCACTTCTCCACACTCCCCCCCCCCCCCCCCCCCCCCCTCCTACCAGCACTCCAGCACTCCGCGCTCCCCAATTTTCCCACGATGACGACGGTCCCACCCGCCTCGCTTCCGCGCCGCCTCTACACCCTCCTGGTCACCGACCACCTCCTCATCTTCCTCGTCTGCATCCTTCTCACCGGCCTAGTCTCCATCCCCCTGAGCGCGTACCAGACCACGCGCCCGTTCTTCCCAGCGGAGTCCTCTCTCTGGAACGTGTACAAGGGCGACACCATCCCGACCGCCCTGGTCTTCGTTGTGCACTACGCGCTGCTGACGCCGCTCATCTACCACTTCGCGTGCGTCACGCGTCTCTCCTCCCCGTCCACGCTCGCGCTCGGCCTTCCATCGGCGACCATGATCGCCGTGCTCATCGTCGAGATGGGCAAGGGCTACGTCGGCCGCCTGCGCCCGTCCTTCGCCACAGTCTGCATGGACGCCGCCCCGACCAAGGCCTGGCTCGACCTCCCCTCCATCCTGTCTGACGCCGCGTGCCCGGCCGCCGACAAGAAGCTGCTGCACGATGCCCGCAGGTCCTTCCCGTCCGGACATGCCGCGCTGGCCGTGTGCGGTGCGGCTTACTTTCAGCTCTGCTTGATGAGGGCTTTGCCGAAGATGGAGGGTAGCTTTAGGAGACTCGCCTTGTACTCGTTGGGGTGGGGGGCCATGCTTTGGGCGGCTTATGTCTCGGCTAGTCGGGTGTTTGATAATGCACATCATGTCAGCGATGTCGCAGTCGGCATGATCGTCGGGCTCTGGACGGCCAGAGTCCATTTTCTTTTCGTCGCCGGGGAGATTGACAGGGAGAGAGCCACGAAGGAAGACTAGTGGCATCTTGCAAACGTGTCACAAGTTGCTGCCCGATTTTGAATCTGTGCGATGAGGAGATCGCTCGTACAAGGTGGCTTAGTGCTTCTGGTACAGATGGCCGCCCACAGCCAAAGCGGATGTACAGTGTAACTTATATTGCAGGCTTGCGCTTTGTTTTTCCGATGGATGGGACTCATATGGAAAATGCAACTGTTGTCCACTGATCCTCCGCCTGGTGATTTTTCTTCTTTTTCGATGACTTCTCCGACGCATGATACCATTGAGAGAAATTCTGTAGCTTCCTTACCAAGCTGGTCTTTTTGTGCAAGGTCAAGAAGCGTGCCAGAATGACTGAAGTGCTCATGCCTTGATTTATCCTGCCCCATGTTTAATTATTCGGGTTTTAGCTGTTCAGGGACTTTGGATGCATTCGTTTTATTTTTTGTTGAAGGATGTGTCGAAACTCAGTCGCTTGCGGACCCATGTTTAGTATTGCTGAAGATAGACTTTGCTTGTACGGTATGTCGAGACGAACCTTCTGCGTCTCGGACGAACAAAGTGTTTGCAGTGCTTTGCAAAGCTACGGCCAAGGATACAGTTACCATAGGATTGGTTTACAAATGCATTCATATGTAAATAAGTATAGCGTTTGCAAGCTCAGCTGGAAGCTTGTCGCAAATATTCCTATGATCAATCTCGACGTCAAAATTCAGATTAAATTTACTATCGCTTGCTTGGGGGCATGCAGGAGAGCAAGCCATGCCTTCACTCCATTGACGAAGATCCATCAATTATCTGCTCGAAGTAGTTTCTCCAAGCGTTCATTTGCGCGGGTTTCCATCAGCAATTAGGACACTTCTTGTTTCAATATTGAACAGCGCTGGAACGATGCTACACTTCAAACCGGAAATAGAAATTGCTCCTCTTGTGATCTTCTGAGCCATCAGGCGGCTTCCAATTATCCTTCCCATTCGCTATATCCGACCCATCAAACAACATCTTTCGTCTCATGGGTACGAAATCCGTCACTGCCGCGGTGCTTTCATCCTCAGCGTACACTATGTTGGCGTCGGGAGCAAACCAGTTCGATTTGTGAGCCCTGCTGAACCGGACTTTGACGGTTGGGTTATTGGTGTCTAGCTCTGTACCATTTACGAGGACAGTGGCGAAAGAGTTGAAGCAATGGTAACTTGCATTTTTAAACCGAAATGCGATGACACTTCCGGGCCTCAAGGGAAACAGGGTATTATTTGCCCTGGCGTTCAAAATTTCGTCAACGTTGTCCGCAGATACTTGTTCATTTCCATAACTCTGAATCATTTTCCCATCAACCCACCAGGCCAAGTGCTTGCAATTGCCATTGAGCAGCCCCTTTCGAGAATATTTAGGTAGAAACGAGCCAAGAATGAGTTTACCCCTACTTGCAGCACTCATTCTAGTTTCCTCGTGACAGGGGATCATTTCGCCGACCGCCTGTCTGATGGGGTCGCTGCCCGATGTGCCGCCGGGAATGCGAGCTCGAATTTCAGTCATATTGCACAAATCTGTGCGCCCTTGACATGCGCACGTCCACCCAGATTTACAATATCTCGATTTGCACATACCATCATTGTCACTTCCAGAAATGAGATCAAGGCAGACGCCCGATTCACCGCTTCCCATCTTGCAACTGCACTGGTCATCGCCGTACATGCATTCGCCGACTTCGGCCATGGTGGAAGGAGCCATGGCTAGAATCATAGCTAGAAGCACAGTGGCTCCTAACCGATTCATTCCGGGGGATTGTGATTGTGGCCCAGGAGATGGCTACAGGGATACCGAGTAGGACAGTTTTGGATAAAGGTTGTGGGGGATTTCGGAAGTTGCCTATTTCGTCGTCGTTTCAGAATCTAGCGGCCATTGCGTGAGACGCACTGACACAATATCTTCTTGAGGTGTGTTGCACGATCAGTGCTCTCAGTCATGAGGTAGGGACGGTATTGACTATTTGTCGGAGAGGACGGCGCATGGTTTGGAATTGATCGCTTCACGCAATTTGAGGGGCCATGGTTTCAATTTCCTTCGTCCGTGGATCATGGGATGAGGCTGAGCTCCTTTTTTATGGTCGTTTGAAAACGACATGCTGTAATCTTGTGCTGAAGGATTGATGTTGATATTCAGTAATTTAGTGGTCCGTCCGTGGAAGGACTCCGTATGAAGGCACAGAGTCTTTTATGCACGGACTAGTGCTCTGAGTAGCTTTTATCTCTACACATGGACTAGAAATGAGTGTTCATATAAAGATGGCAATATGAATGAATTGAAACAACAAGTGAGTACTGTGCAAGGTTGAAGTAGTGTGGACGACAGGTCAAAGCGAAGTGATCGGTCGGGAGAAGAAAGACGATTTAAAGATGTGATGTAAACGATCGGGGCCGTGGCAATTGGCAAACAGACGTCAACAAACCAATATGACTACTAAATGACCTTTTTAACCACAAGCATGGTTCCGCATCTTCCGGGAGACGACAGAGTTTGTTGTTGTTATACTGAATTAAGTTTACCAAAAACTGAAACCTTGAGACATCCTTACAGTGAAGGCGGCCCTTTCCAGAAGCGGCAACGGAGCTTCCCACAATAGTGTCGTATCCTGATTGGTCGGTGTTGGGAAAATGCTCTAAGGCGCGGACACGTGTACGCTCGCAGCCGTTTCTGCAACTTGGTCGCCTATGATTGGCGGTCATGCGAATGGCGATTTGAATCCAGAGAGCCGCTTTTCTCACCACATTTCATTCTTGGCGATTACACACAACAAACCACAGCGCTTCGTAGACCCGTCTACCGTCCACAGCCTTCCTCCCGTCCTCCGCTGGAACCTCCCCATCTGTGTCCCGCCGTCCCGCCGACAACTCCGCCATGGACATTCCCTCCGACCTCCTCGCCGAATTTGTCGGCGTCACCAACGCCTCTGAGACCCTTGCCACTCAGCTTCTCCGCGACAGCGGCCTGAACCTCGAGTCTGCCATCACCTCTTTCTTCGCCATCCAAGACGCCGGCGGCCTCCCGCAGCCGTCGAGCCCGCCTTCCGACACCGCCGCAGAGAATGGCGAAGCGCACGACGCCCATCTCGCCCGCGTCCTTGCAGAGACAGAGCTGCCGGAGCAGCCGGTGCGCGCCCCGCTCCCGCAAATCGTCGACACGCTCCTCCCCTCCATGCCACACCCGCTCGCCGCCGGCCGCCAGCAACCCCCGCTGGACGCCTTCACCCAGTCTGACGGCACGCCGCACGGCGACGGCCTGGCCCACTTGTTCCGTCGCCCGACCCATCTCGACTTTTCGGGCTCGTTCGAGCATGCCATGACCGCGGGCCAGCGCCGCCAGAAGTGGATCCTGATCAACATGCAGAGGGCAGACGTCTTTGCATGCCACGTCATGAACAGAGATGTGTGGGCCGACCCGGATATAGAAGCCCTCGTGCAGGAGCACTTTGTCTTCTGGCAGCGCGACGAGGCCACGTCCGACGGCTCTAGATACAAGCAGTTTTATCGCTACGGCGAGCCCCCTCATGTCGCCATTATAGATCCTAGGTCGGGCGAGAGGCTCAGGACCTGGGGTGGCGATGGCGCCCCAATCGATGCAAAAGTTATCAGAGCAGCACTCGCTGACTTTGTTAGACGCAATTCCCTCGAGAGCGAGGATATCATCCCTTCAGATTCGGCTTCTACCCGGCCACCGGAACAGCGCTCAGCCGCAGCTGCATCGGATGCTGTTTCATCTGCTGAAGACGACGGCGATGTGGAAATTACTGACGACGCCGCCTTGGCGGCAGCTATCGCCGCAAGTATGGAAACCCCAGGCCGAAAAGCGGCAACTGTCAGCGGAGAAGGACCTTCGGAGGGTTCAGACGAGAGTGTACCGAACGGGGCGACCGGACCGGATGCGATGGATTTCGGAGATGAGCGGGCGGCTAGTCGTCTGCTGTCGGCAACGGATCCAACGCTTAACCGCAATCGCAGCCTGCGCGCAGAGCAGGATAACGAGTTTGAAGAAAGCCTGGCCATGGACCGTGCGAAAGAGCTTAGCGCGAAGGCTGAGGCGGACCGAGCGGATCGAGAGGCAAAAGAAGCTGCGCATGAAGAGGAGAAGGCAGCTGAGAGTCGGGAGTTGAAGCGTAGACGAGTTCCGGATGTGCCTCCTAAAAATTGCTCAGAGGCGGTCAGCGAGCTTGTCATTCGACTACCAAGCGGCGGAAGGTTGCAACGTCGATTCCTTTCGAGTAGCACCATTGGCAATGTGTATGACTATGTGGAGAGCGAGGCGGAGCAGTTGAGCGGTGGGGTTTTTGAGCTGATGCAGCCGTACCCACGGAAAAGCTTTACTGATCGGACGGTTGCCCTGTCCGAGCTTGCTCCGAAAGTGGCACTCGTCGTACACCTGTTATAGTAGACTCGATGCGAATGAAAGTAACAAAGACGCGCAGAGTCCCATCCCACTCACTTCCTCCCCTCCACCCTCACCCTCCTTTCCATCTTGTGACAGCTCAAAGCTCCTTCGCATCTTCCCTCGTTCGAAACATCATCTTCGAAAGGGTATAGTGATTTTTGCCGAGCTTGACACCCTCTGCGTCCCAATACAATGTGCTCCACGGCACTTGTTTCGATGGATGCAAAACCTCTATGTCGGTGTCCCCCAACGGGACGTTCTGGCTCTCCTTCAGGATCCCCGCGACTCTCCCCCTCTCAATGACGGATTTCTTTACGCGTGCAAACCTGACGCCATTCGACACCCTGGCCACCTCATACCGGGTGTGCTCATTCTCGACATACAGGACCTCGGTCTCCAACCTGTCCTCGACCTCGGACTGGACGCCCTCCATCCTCCCACATTCGTACATCGCACACGGATCGTTACACAAATCAAACAGCAGCAAGACGTCCCCCCTCGCCCTCTTCTTCCCCCCAGCCCCAAACGGGACCAAACCCGGTACGTCCGCCGGGCCCTTGCTCCACTTCCGTCGCGGCACGCGCTTGACATCATCCCCGAGATACTGCAACTCAACGGTCTCAACGCGCATGCAACAGCCCTCATACTTGTGGCCCAACCATGCCCTCGACACGCCCCTCCCACCCTCGACCGAATCGAAGCGCACCCCCTCTTTCTTGAAGAGGCGGACTGCGACGCAGACGTGCTGCAAGTTGAGCAGCTGGACGTTGGGCGGGACGAACCAGCCCGCGTGCGCGAGCACGGCGACGAGGTCCGAGTCGTCCGTGTACACGCCGTCGCGGCCGCCCCACACCAGGCGCGCATGCAGCGCGGGGTTGGCGGCCGTGAAGTCGTGCGCCGGGATCATGACCTCGACGTCGCGCGGCGCGGGCGCGCGCGCCGCCACGAGCGCCGCGGC